CCCTGGCAGGGGCCGAAATGTTATCGCCATATCACTGCCACTGAGTCCCCCTCTCACTGGCTCACCAGCTTCGCTGTGGGGAGCAAGGGCTCAGGCCAGACCACAGGTCCCCTGGGAACTTTAGGATTGATAGATGCCCGGCCCACCTGAAACTGCCTGATCAGAGGCTCCAGGAGAGATGCCCATGAGCGGGGTGGGGGTGGGGGACTATGTGGTCTGGTCTCTTGATTTTTGTCACTCAAGCTGCTGCTGCTGTTCCCCCGGCTGGAGTTGAGGACTCAGAGTAACAGAGACAGGGCTGAAGACCAGCAAGCTGTCAAAGGAAGAGAGCGAGAAAGGCCTGGTGCTTCCTTGGGGGGAGGCACTATTGTGGCAGAGGGGCTGGAGTTCTGGACCTAGTGTGCGCCCCCTGTGAAGGGTCTCATAAAAGTGTAGGCCCACTTCTGGGTCCTGCAGACAAGCTGGGGGTGTCCCTTGTTATAGAAGAGGAGCAGCTGCTTTGGTGGGTGCTCTGGTCTCCAGGATGCTGGAGGATGGACAGGCATCTGGTCTCTCCCCATCTCAGGGGCAGTTCCAGCCTTTCTGTTGCTCGGGCCAAATAGCTGCCTTGGGGGCTGTCTTGATTCCACCTTCTTCTCCTGTCCACTTATTTGAGAGGCGCCAGGGCTGTGCTGAATAAACTGCCCAGGCATGAGCTGACCATGCAGTGGTCTTGAATGACTACTGTGGGTCTGGCACCAGAGGATAGTCCCCAAAGAGGCACTCACCTAGTGAGTCTGCATGCCTGCTTGCTGAGTGTAGGCACATCCAGCTCTGGTGGGGGCCCAGAACCCTCCCCTCCCCACCTATGGTTGATAGGCGTTCAGACTGAATGGGGTTTTCACTGTGACCCTCCAGCCCACGCTCCTGGAAGGCTTCTGGAGCTGTCCAGGGTGGGAACCGCCTGGGCAGCTCAGCTGTTGCCATGGGGACTGATGGGCCTCTCCGTTGAGCAGTGAACTTTGAAATTGACTTAGATACAGGACAACAAAGGACACCTCAGCCTTGGATGCAAATTGTGGTTCCTTTTAATCCTTTCAGGCCCTTTACTGCGCTTCTTTTGTTCTTGCCACTTAGATCAGAGAAGAAACCCCTTTCAAATGCTATAAAATCAAAACATAAGCAATTAAGGGACCCTCTTTGAGGTTCAGATCCCTCATTAGTCTCTTCAAAAAGCAGGTGTTTTGGTGGGAGACAGAGAGGTCTGTGGAAAGGCTGGCGGAGCCATAGTTAGCAGCTCCCTCACGTGTTGCGCATGTACAGATACGACCTGAGCTCCCAGGCAGGTGTGGGGATTCCCTGTGGACAGGCCCCAGGGATCTCCTCTCTCTCAGAGCATCTGCGCTAGGCCATGCCCTGAAAGCCGGGTCCCAGTAGGATCAGGAGATGGCCGTAGCCCAGGGCTTTTCTGTTCTTCCTCCACCCCGCCTTTCTCCCTGGCTCCCTTCTTGCTTCCTTCCTTCCTCCTTTCTCCTTGCTTTGGTGACGTGTTTAAGATTTTTGTCTAGATTCACTATATGTGTATAGTGACTATATAGTGAATATAGATATGTATATATGATCAGGATGATCATATCGTGAATATATTTAGAGTGGTTATATAGTGAACATTACTAGATGTGATAGTGAATATAGACAGTCAGTACATATACAGTGAATCTATATATTGAGTATAGATAGTGAATAAACATAGTACATAATAAATATATATAGTGAATGTACATGGAGACTCTATACAGTGAGTAAACATGGTGAACATACATATGTATATGTATATATATCTCAAACTCAGTGCAATGGCGTCAACTCTGACTCATGGTAATCCTGTAGGACAGGGTAGAACTGCCCCTATGGGTCTCTGAGACTGGATTCTTCACAAGAATAGGAAGCCTCATCTTTCTCCTTCAGAGCTGCTGGTGGTTTCTAACTCCTGACTGCCAATGAATAAGCACTATATGTAGTTACGTATGTATATATATATACGTTGAATATAACATAGCTAAACTTACCGTCATTGTGTGGACTCCAACTCAAAGTGACACTTAGGACCGAGAAGAACTGCCTCCTGCCTCGTTGGGTTTCCAAGGCTGTAAATCTATAGGAACTGACAGCCTCATTTTTGTCTCAAGGAGTGGCTGATGGGCTTGAACCACTGACCTTGTGTGGTTAGCAGCTCATTGTGTAGCCCACTATGTCACCAGGGCTCCTGCATTGTACCACCAGAGCTCTTTAAATAGAACACAATATTAAAAAGAGTTTAACCTGTGCCTCTTTGCCTTTTTGGTGGAGCTGTTAGAAGGTTTTAAATCACCTACATTTCTGGTTTTTTGGTTTGCATTATATTCCCATTGAACAGCACTAGGATAAAACGTCAGTGCTGGAAGGGGCCTTGAAGTTATTCTGTCCACAATCCAACCTGAACTAGAGGGGAACAGTGCCTTGTCCCAGGCCACAAGAGTTTGAAAGGAGGGCAGTAAGGATTGGCTACCTTCCTCCTGGAACTTCCTGGTTCAGGGGCAAAGGCTGTTTGACACTGCTGGTGCCAATAGGTGGTCCTTGGTGACTGAGGCCCCTGGGAGGGGCTACCAAGCTGAGGCCACAGCTTTGTGGAGCCTCCTTCGCCTCCTACCCAGAGTGGTCTTCACCCACTTGCTATGCAGACTGCGCACCCAGACATCCGCAGGGCAGGAACCTCCCGTGTGCAATCAATAGCCCAATAGGGCAGGCTGCGAAGAGCCAAACCTAATTATTTTGTTCAGAAACTTGTCTGTAACTAAAAGCCATCTGAGAAATCACTGCCACCCTCTCGGAGGGGGGAGAGAAATCCAGTCACGACGTTCAAATTGGATTTTTATCGACTGTTATCTTGCTATAGATGTTGTTGCCCTGCAAAGTCTCGGCTTGGATATGCGACAGAACCAAGACCACGCACAGAGCGGAGAGCTTGTCCGCGAGTCTCTGCAGAAGCCGCCCAGGTGGCCCAGCTGCTGTTGTCATGGTGAATCCCAGGGCTCCTTCCCTCTGAGGAGCATCGCAGACAAACCCCTTCTTTAAAGGAGGACTCTAGTCCCCTCCACACCCCGGATGTGGGCCAAGTGCTCATGGGGGAGAAAAGACTGAGAGGTGAGACTCTTGAAAATTAGTTAGGGGTTATAAGAGCTGTAAGAGCCCCCAATAAAATGATCTTTAAAAAAATTAGGGTGACTACACTATTGCATTAGGAAAAAAATGGAAACTTGCGGAGTGCCTGAACATAAGCCCTTCAAAATGTAGACGGTTCACCCTTACAGGGGAATACCAGGTAGCCGTTCAGAGGGCTTGGTGCCTACACGGAGAAGTCTTCAGGATGTCATTCTTCTGCAAAACCCAAGCTCACAGGACAGAGTGTCACCCTCAGGAAAGTCCCTCGACTTGGTATGGCTGGGTCAAGGGCAGGACGTTTTCCATTTGGGGGGTGGAGTCTATTTCAAAACCCTTCCCTCCAATTCCTCTGTCAGGGGTGGGTGGGTAGGGGCTCAAGCCAAAGTCTGGGCTCCACGAGAGATGAAAGGGGTGACTGTGATAGGTAGGTTTATTCTGCCAAGCTGGCCAATGAACACATGTGAGATTAATTGAAGAGCGAAGAGATAAATGGTTCAGTGAGCCTCGCCTTTCTTGTCTCTTGTTCTTTGATGATCGGACCAGTGTGTGGCTACCTTAGCTGGTCCTCTGCCTAAATTTGCAAGCTACCTGTGGGACACCTAACCCGTGGACTGTGTCGCTGTAGTTTGAGGTTCCTTCAGGACCTGCTTCACCAGCTACTGGAGTATACATTGCTTGAGCTGGGGACTGTCGGGCCCTGTCATCTGACTGACTGTTGGTGACCTGCCTTGCTGTTTGCTGCCTGTGGCCGGATGGCCTGAATTACTCTACAGAGGACTACCCGGTGGTCCTCAAGACTTGAAGGACTGTCAGTGTATTAGTTGTCTCATGGAAGTTAGTTGCACTGAGCCATTTGTACTGCTTTATAGCTTAATTAACTGTTTATTTGCATATATATAAATCATTAATGCCCTGGGTTTGTTTCTCTAGAGAACCCTGTCTAACATAGTAACTATTGGACTTCAGGGCCGGAGGAAATGGCATTGCGGCCTCAGGGGGCAGAGGCACCAACATGTCCTCTCCCAAGAAGGTGGGGGAACTCCCTGCTGGGTGTCCAGTGCCTCAGAAACCCACTGTGTGTAGATATCACAGCCAGCCAGGCCTCCTCAGAGTGACTATTCTGGGGAGTGTTGGCCTCGTAAATCGGAGGTTCCGGGATCTCTCAAGATGCCCGCTGTAAAGCTGAGAGGTACGTTCACCCTCAGAAAAGTAGCTTCCTCTTGTTGGCTGAGGACATCTCTGTTGGCGGCACCCGGTCCCGAGTGGCTCTGAATGGGAACCAGCTACGAGCAAAGGCATCCCTCTCTCCAAACGAGGCTCGGCCGCTCCCTCGTTGGGGCCTGAGCTGAAGGTGTGGCAGCAGGACTGGAAGGCAACATGGGCAGAAACGTGTGTGCCCACCGACCAGCCCTTCCCCCCGCCCCCTCCAGAGGGTGGGGAGGTGCTGGGGACTCTCAAACTCCCTGCCAACGAATTGACTCACAGAGGACAGAGTAGCACTGTCCCTGGGGGTTTCTGAGACGGTACCTAGCTCTTCATGGGAGCAGAAGCTTCATCGTTGTCCCTTGGGTGGTGGGCAGTTTTAAAACGCTGACTTTGAGGTTAGCAGCCTAATGTGTAACCACTACATTACCAGGACCTTTTTTTCTGGTAACTCCAAACCCATACATCTCAGGACAGGCGGAAACGTGCCGCCGTCGAAGTAATGCCGGGTCACAGCAGCCCTACAGGGACAAGGAGCAACTGGCCCTGTGTGTTTTGGAGGCTGTACATCTTTGAGTAGAAAGCCACGTTTTCCTCCCATGGAGTGGCTGGTGGTTTCAAACTGCTGACCTCGAGGTTAGCAGCCCCACCTATAACCCGCTATGGATTCACATTTGAGTAGTCACCAAAACCTGTGTGGCCATCTTCCCTATAGGCTTTGGGGTACCCCAAAATGCTGAGTGACTCCGATCTAGCCTCTCACTTTACCAGGAAATGTTGTTGTTGTTGTTAGGTGCCATTGAGTCAGTCCAACCGAGAGAGACTATGCCCAACAGAAGGAAACCCTGCCTGGTCCTGCACCATCCTCACAATTGCTCCTATGCTTGAGCCCACCCTGGCGGCCAGGGTGTCCGTCCATCTCATTAAAGGCCTTCCTCTTTCCCGCTGCCCCTGCACTTCACCAGCATGAGGTTTGTTCCCCAGGGACTTGGTCTCTCCTGAAAACACGTACAACGTCTGTAAGACAAAGGCTTGCTGTCCTTGCCTCTGAGGAGCACTCTGGCCTGACTTCTTCTGAGACTTCGTCCTTTCATCAGGCCACGGCACTTTCTAGAGTCTTCTCCAACACCACGATTCGTTTCAGGTCTTCCTTCTTGGATGTCCCATTTTCACACGCATATGAGACAACAGCACATGCCACAGCTTCAGTCAGGCACATCTGAGTGCTCAAAGTAACACCCTGCTTTTCAACGCCCTCCAGAGGATGTACTGATGCAATGTGTCTCTGGATCTCTTAACTGCCACTTCCATGAACATCGATTGTAGACTCAAGCAAGACAAAATCTTTGATAATTTCAACTTTTTCTCATTTATTATGATGCTACCTGTTGATCCAGAGTCTTCTTGACATGAGTTTTAATCCATGCTGAAGGGTACAATCCTTTACCTTCATGAGCAAGCGCTTCAAGTTCCCCTCACCTTCAGCAAGCAAGGTTGTGTCATCTGCATATTGCAGGTTGTTAATAAGCCTTCCTCCAAATTCTGATGCCACACTCCTCATATAAGCCAATGTATTAGTCTGGGTAGACTAGGGAAATAAATCCACAGAAACTCAGATATGTATAAGAGACAGTTTTATATAAAGGGTAAGTGTACATTAAGAAAGCATCCAAACCCAGTGCTGTCCAAGCCCAATCTACAAAGTCCTCCTCCATCTCACAAAACACACGCAATGATGCTGACTGCAGGAGGAAAGCCGAATCAGTGTATGTGTAAGCATCTCAGCGCTGGCAGGGGTCTCCACACGGCTGCTCCAGCACCCAGTGCTGCATCAGGGTAGGTCCATGTGGCTTCTCTTTGGGGATGTCTTGCAGGAATTGAGCTTTGACAGCTGAAGCAGGGAACTAGCTAAGGCAGCTGCACCCTGGGTGGACCATCAGAAAGCAAGAGACCTGAGAACTAGAAAGGCAAGGGTCACTGAGCCACTTATCTTTCCGCCCTTCAATTAATCCCACATGTGTTTATCAGCCAGGTTGGCACAATAAACCTTAACGATGTCAGCCAGCTTCTCGGATTATTTGCTGAGCACAGAGCTTGAATAAAGTATGGTGAGAGGATACAACCCTGAAGCACACCTTTCCTGATTGGAAACCATGCAGGATTCTCTTGTTTTGTTCACACACCTACCTCTTGATCCATGTACAAATTCCATATGAGCACAATGAAGAGTTCTGGAATCCTCATTCTTCTCAAGGCCACCCACAGTTTATTATGGGTCCACACAGTCAAATGCTTTTGCAGTCAATAAAACACCAATAACCCTCTTCCTGTGGTTGTCTGCTTTGAGCCAAGATACATCTGCCTTTAGCAATGATATCCTTTCTTCCAAGTCCTATTCTGAATCCAGCCTGAGCCCTGTCAATGTACTGCTGGACATACATTGTATCCAATGCATTGTTGGATGATCTTCAACAATATTTTACTTGCATTTGATATCAATGATATAATGCAGTTTAAGCATTCTGTTGGATCACTTTTCTTAGGAATGGGTACAAAGATGGATCACTTCCAGGCAGTTGGCCAAGTCCCTGTCTTCCAAATTTCCTGGCATGGACGAGTAAGTGCTTCCAGTGCTTCAGCAACTTGTTGAAACATTCCAATGGGCATCCCGTCAATTCTTGGAGCCTTGGTTTTGACTAATGCTGTCAGCACAGCATGAATTTCTTTCTTCAATACCATTTGTTCTTGCTTATCCACTACCACCTGAAATGGTGAATGTCGACTAGTTCTTTGTTACAGTGACTCTGTGTTGTTTCCTTCCTCATTCAATATTTAGATGTCATGAGATGGTTGAAGTTTTCTTCTTGAGTTCTTTCCCTTCCAGACATGCTGAGGGTGCTCTTCCCTTTGGGGCTTCCAGTCCTAGGTCCTTGCACGTTTCGTTACGATATGTGCTTTGTTTTCTTGAGCTGCCCTTTGAGATGTTCTCTTCAGCGCTTTGATTCGATCCTTTCTTCCATCTGCTTTAGCTACTCTATAATTAAGAGCAAGTTTCAGAGTCTCTTCGGACGTCCACTTTTGATCTTTTTTCCCCTTTCCTGTCTTTTTAACGACCGTTTGTTTTCTTCGTGAACGGTTCTCTTAATGTCCCCCCACAGCTCATCGGGTCTTCTGTCATGAATGTTGAGTGCTTCACATCTGTTCTTGAGCTGTTCTCGAGATTCGGGTGGGATAGACTCAAGGTTGTGTTTTGGCTCTTGTGGACTTGTTTTTTGTTTTCTTCAGCTTTATCCTGAACTTAAGCAATTGATGGCCTGTCCCACAATGGGCTCCTGGTGTGGTTTTAGTGGCTGGCATTGGCCTTCTCCAGCATGTCTTCCCACAGGTGTAGTCAATTTGGTTTCTGTGTGCTCCGTCCACAGAAGGCCATGAGGATAGCCACCTTTTGTGTTGTTGAAAAAAGGTGTTTGCTGTGAACAGGAAATGCTGAGTGACTGTAATCTAGCCTCTCATCTCCAGGTGGACCCGCATGATGACCCAAGAAAGCAAAGTTCCAGGAGTTCAGCGTATGGTGGAGTGACATCTGGGCTCCAAGAGTTTTGATATCAGCTGTCTCCCATCCCCAAATGCCTCTGCCTATCTGGATATCTGGCCTCTGGGAGGGTGGGGTGGGGGGGTGTTTGCATCGTGATGAAATAACTGGGAGAAGCTCTGCTTGACGGTAGAAAACAGCAAGCTGGGACCTGGAGGGGACCCAGGCTCTGCACTCTGGCCCAAATGAGATTTTCTGGAGTTACGGCGTTAACAAGGCTTTCCTGCAACTCCCCAAGGCAGGAGACAGTCAATAAAATGCCCTGTCCCCACCTGCTTCCCGCTTCTCTGCCTAGACCCTGGGCATGGCTTTGGGGAAAGACTACAGTCCTTTTTGTCCACAGACTCTGATAGCCACAGTCCCCTGTTGGGAAGTAAGGAGAAAGGAGGTCAGGAGAGAGAGAAAGGAGGCTGGTGGGCTACTTTCTGCACTGCCCCCTAGGCTCCCAGGCTGCACTTCAAGAGAATGTTGCATTGGCCGCATTGCCAGCCCCCCAGCACCCACCCCTTCTGCGAGCCTCCCTTCAGGAGAAGGTGCCGAGCAGCTGGGAATGAGGACAGATGCCAAGGATGTTCCCAGCTATGTCTGGACAGAGTGCCAGGGGGAGGAATACTCAAACCTCAGGGAGTGGCCTCCCTGGAGGCCATGGGCCCCAGGGGCAGCTCAGGGAGGTAGGGGCTGGGGGTGGGTCTTGCGGTCCAAGTGGGAGGGGCCAAGCAGAGGCAGGCAGATGCTGGCTGTGATGCTGAGGTCTGTTGGGGTTGGCTGTGCTGTTAGCTCCAGGGTTGGGGCGACCCAATGCACAATGAAGCAAAGCACAGCCCAGTTCTTTGCGGTCCCCGTGAGTGGTTACAGATTGGGGGTCTTGAGAGCACCCTGTGTCAGAACTGACTGGCCTGAGGACAGGGGCGCATGGCTGGTAGAATTCTTATCTCCTGTGAGGGAACCTGGTAGGGTTGTGGTTACATGTTGGGCCGCTAACTAGAAGGTCAGCAAATCAAAACCATCAGCCACCCCTTGAGAGAAAGATGGGACTTTCACCCCTGTAAACAGTTGCAACCTGAGAAACTCACAGGGACAGCTCTACCCTGTCCTATCGGGTCACTAGGAGTCAGCCTCGACTCGATGGGAGGGAATTTTGGGGTTTGGTGTGGGAGATCCTGGTTTGGTTTGTGGCCAATGTTCATCCTAGGCATAGCCTCACCCTGTCTGTCAAGTTCCCATGAGCCCTAGCAGACTTCAGCAGCACTTCCAGCCTAAGGTGGCTGAGGAAGAAAGGCCTGGGAGTTCGCTCTGGCAAACCAGATAGTGAAAAGGGGTGGGGGGGGCAAGGGGATCAGGGTCTGGGTCTCCTACCCACCCTTGGTCTACACGGTGAGCAAGGAGACCAGCAG